TCCGGGGGCACCGCAGCTGCAGCTGAAAAGCTGAGAATCTGCAGCTGCGCCAAAAAGACCCTAAATGCCCCTACCCTACCCATAAATAAACCCAATCTCTTCACTTGGGGAAGAGGAAAAGAGAAGGAATTCCAAAGCATTTTCTAAATTGACGAATTGGCAAAAACTTATGGTTGTTTTCGATCACTGTGAACCGCCACTTGTCGGCTGTCATCGACCACTGCCGACCGCTCTAGTTAGCCACCGTCAACCGCCCCTATTCATTAATGTTGTATCCATAATACGGTTGTAATATATAACAATATTAAATATCCAATGATAACTTCCAACCACCATAATCACAGACTGACATCGACCATTGTTGGTCGGCCGCCATCAACCACCGCCGACGGTCCTTCCTCGCCACCATTGATAACCCTTACTTGATAATGTTGCATCTAAAATACAATGTAGAACAACGTATTGAAGACCCGACAATACCATTAACTTTGCTCAAATGTGATAATACCAAATTGCACACATAAAAATCATGCAATAATACATTAAGAAAATGCATAAAAGCATAGAAGTCCAAAAAAAAAACAAAAGCCACCTTATCCTGATGACCAGCCTTGATCACATTATTAAATATTGTAATAAAACTGTCAACGGTTTGCCCAACCAATTCAAATTAATATATTTTTATTTTGGAGCATTTACGTACATACCACCCAATTCCTATGTATTTACATATATAACCCCTAAACTTCATTTTTTACATTTCTACCACCCAAGCCCTTCATATCACACAAAAAATACCACTATTTTAACTCCTAAACAATGTAATTAGAAAGGAGGCACATATGTAAAAATTGAAATTTAGGTGTTAGATAAGTAAATACACAGGAATTGAGTCAAGTACCACCACGCCTTTGAATCCTCGACTCCAACGGCCTTCATCTTATCAATGGAATGAGCAAATACTCAGCATAAAATAGCTGCAACATCACCAAACAAAGAAGGCAGAGATTATAAGGAAAACAGAGCAAAGGGACATTTACAAACATACCGCCTAATTCCTATGTATTTGCATTTTAATATTCATAATCTTTCGCATCACATAAAAAATATAACTACTTTTAACTTTTAAACGTTAAATACACCTTTTCATGCAAAAGGCGAAGTGGCATATATGTAAAAGTTGAATTTTAGGGGGTAGATATGTAAATATTAGAGCTAGAAAAAAATTACCTTCCAAATAAACATATAGAAGGAGGTTATAGCAGCTTTGCTTGTCAACCTGACAGACTTGGCATTGTTCCAGAGAATTAATGCAAGTGCAGCATGGCCCAATACCTGAAAGAAAAACATTTTACATTAAGTTTATGATATGTATAAAAAAATAGGAAAATTTACATAAACGCCACACAATTCTTAAGTATTTACATATCTAACATCCGAACTTTCGTATTTACTTCTATAATAGTTTGGTGTGATAAAGCTATGCATGAAAAGGTGTGTTTCATTTTAAGAAGTGAGAAGCACCCGATTCTTATGGATTTACGTATCTCACAACAAAATTTCTATATTTACACGCATAGCACTTTATCTATGCATGAAATGGGGGATTTAACTATTAAGAAGTGATAATTAGTGCTATTTGTAATACTATACAAAAGAATCGCGTGCTAAGCGTAAAAATATGAAAGTTTTGATGTGAGAAACATAAATCTATAAGAATTGCAATGTAAATGCCCCACAAAAAAAGTAACAAAGCCAAATTTGCATGGAACTATTAAATAGCATTCTCGTGAAACTGATATGATTTGATGTTGAAATCAGCACAGATTTTCACAGAAGTTAGAGCAAACACAATGTTTTTGTAATAATCCAAACAACTCAACAAGAATACAAAGATAAATACCTACAACTCGAGACGTTTAAAGATGTAGTAAATCTCTCCCAAACCCTAGACCTAAGGCTCACAACTTAATCTCTTTCATCCCCCTAATCCTAGACAGAACAAATATATTTATACCTAACAATAATAATAATAAAAGACTAAATTACCCTTGGGGGCACAAAAGACAAATTTTCCCTTAGGCTAGACCCCCTTGTAAGAAAAACAGAATATCAGCTACAGACACGGAATCCTTTTCGGCCATTACATCAAAAGGGATATTTGTAATATCACTTAAAATCCAAAGAAGAAACCAATAAATTTAACTGAATAAAAAATGTCACTGCCTACATATGAAATGAGATAAATCAGAACTATTTGCATGCTTCCGTTGAATAAAAAATTGTATTTCCGTGTAATTTGAAGATATTAATCATAAGTGAAGAAAATTATGAATTAAAAACAATGACAGAAAACAACAAGAAAAGCTTAATTCAACCTTTAAGTATTGTAGATAAGACGGCAAAAGAGAAAAATAATGAAATAAAATAATTAAAAAAGGATTATTAAAGGGTAGAGTTACAAAGATACCATTCACTTTCTATGTATTTACATATCTGACACATAAACTTCAGTTTTTATATGCATGCCACCTGGTATGCATGAAAGGGCACATTTCATTTTTTAAAAGTTAAAATAGTGGTATTTTTTATTTGATATGAAAGATTCGGGTGGTATGAATGTAAAAGCAAAAGTTCAGGTGCAGATATGTAAATACATAGGAATTAGGTGGTATGTACGTAAATGCCCCTTATTCAAATAATGGATGTTACTAATACAGAAGATTCTTCAGCCATACAGTTGCAAACTTGCTCCATGGGCAGGTTGAAGTTGCTCCAACCACTATGGCTACAGTGTAAGCCATCTCAAGGAGGTATACACATGCCCAAAATACCTGCTCAAATGCAAAAAGATCCACGAGAAAAAAGAATATCATAAATACCGTTTATACTTTTGAAAAAGCTAAAGCTGATTGATTAACAACTAACCGGCTTTTGACCAAGACGCACGGTAAAAGAACGAATACCAAATATTCGATCTCCGTCGATATCTGGTATATCCTGCAAATCAATTTATCAAGGCACAAGAAGAGATAACATGGCAATACCATAAGCATGAACACAACAAACAGCTGCCTTCAATCTCCATTGTATATAATGAAAGAATGTCCAATATATATGTGTGTATATGCGCGCGCGCGAGCGAGCGCGTGCGTAAAATCAAAATATGCCGACATTACTATCTTAATCATTGCATAATCTAGCTTATTAAACCTAGTTTTATGACTGTCTTTTCCATTCAACAATCTGGGTATTTGGACCATTTATGATTTATTTAGAAAAGAAGTCTGTTTTTGTCTAAAATAAAACTAATAAGAATATTACATTGACAAGAGCTAACTCAATGCCAATTGCAAATAATGAAAGAATATTTTATGAATATATATATCATTGCCTTGATCGCTTATTAGATATGGCTTTATGATTGTCCTTTGCATTCATCTATCTTGGGTACTAACATAATGAAATATTTACATACATACCACTCAATTTCTATGTATTCACAAATCTAACACCTAAATTTCAACTTTTTTCATATATGAAGAGATACATTTTACTCATTAAAAGTTAAAATGATGGTATTTTTGATGTAATATGAAAGATTTTGGTAGTATAAACATAAAAAGTAAAGTTTACAATCTAGATATGTAAATACATTGGGTGGTATGTATGTAAATGCCCATAAAATAATTTGAGTTATTTAGAAAAGAAGCATAATATTTTTTATTTATCTAATATAAAGTTAATAAGAATATTACATCCAAGTAACTGCAAATCAACAAAAGATAACAAAACCTCAGAGTACCCGCAGTTATGAATAGAACAAAAAACAATTACATGTCAAGCTTTCTTTCAGAATATGTGGATTCAAAAGATGTCACACCCACTGTTGTGGTTCCTAAATCTAGAAGAGAATGGTTGAGGGTTGATGTAAAGGCGATAACCAATCATAAGAATAATAAATATTACTTTTTTTAAAAAAAAAATAAATAAAAGGCTGATAATCCAAGAAAATTAGTAAAGGTTATTAACCATTGTCCATTGGGAAGATTAAAAATAATAATGAGATCTGGATAGTTGTTAATAAGGAAATTAAAGAATTTGGATACTGGCCCTCCAGCGCTAAAAACTTTATGGAGGAAGGGATTTATTTTCTTCTCTCGATTTAGCGAGTCACGACTGTATTTATGAGTGATCTCATCAAATTGTCTCCTCTCAAATGTAGCAATTTTGTTATAATTGAAGGATTTTTCACGGCATATCCTCCAATGTAATTTCCTGGACACCTTTTGAGTATTTCATTCAGATGGCATTGTGTCATTTTCTCCATATCAGACTTTTAGTGGATGCAGAATTGCAAATCAAGGTTGGTTGGGTTATATTTTGATGATAGGTAAAGGTGAATTTTTTTGTATAGATAGGAAGTTGGCTTTTGAAAATTTAACAATAGGGCTATGCATAGCGGTAGGAATGGTTAGGGTATGGTGAATTTTTTTTATTTTTTTTTTAATTTTGGATTTGGGACAAGAAAGATAAATATCTAAAAATTTAGAGTTTGTCTTGTTCTGATACCAGATGATACCATTTAAGGGCTCCTAAAAGGTGTGAGAGAATACAAAATGGAGTTAGGCCACTTAGAGTTCTAGTGGATGCAGAATTGCAAATTAAGGTTGGTTGGGGGCTTAGGACTTGGTGATATGTGTCGAGGTGAATTTTTTCTAAAGGTAGGAAGTTGACATTTGAAAATTTAACATTAAAGCCAAAACTAGGGTATGGTGGATTTTTTTTTTTAAAAATTTTAAATTTGGGACAAGAAAGATAAATATCTAAAAATATAGAATTTGTCCGTCTGTGATACTAGATGAAACCATTTAAGGGCTCCTAGAAGGTGTAAGAGAATAAAAAGGGATTTTAGGGAAGGTGTACAATGCGTAATGGGGTGGGAGGGTAGATGGTGATTAAAATTTGGCAAAAACTGCGATTAGACAGTGAACGGGGAGCAGGAAAACAGCTGTTTCCTGCTGTAAACAGCAGGTGGCAACTGTTTTGACTGCTATCCGGCAGAAAACATCAGACGAGCAGCGAAACGGCGAGGTGCGGATGGTGAGGGGAATTCATCACTCATTAATGGGCAAGCTATAGACACACCATTTGCAAAAGAAAGAGGCTATAACACTAGAGAGCAAAACCCGGAGAAAAATCTCCAAAATACACAAATCAAACTAAGTTCTCAAAAGAGCTAAAATATCACTATAAAAAAGATCCCAAATAGAAATTAACCTAATTAAAAATGTATAAATAGAAAAAGCCAGAAAAGAAAAAGAAAAGAATGAAACTCAAATTAAATAAAAATAAATAAATAAATGAATTTTCCGGAACTGTTACTCTTTGCGATAAATAGAAGGAAACTTGCAGCAAACAAAACAAAAATAAAAAGTATCGCTTAGACTGAGAATGTTACTAATCTCTTCGCTCTATTTCTCTTCTTCCAAGAGGTTGATAGCATAATGAGTGAATCTACAAAACCTTCTTTGAGGCATTTGATTTAGTGTGTTAATTCAAGTTATTCACGTCATTGCGAACACCATAAAGCGAAGAAGATACTCAACGAAAAAAAAATATAGAATCATACACTATTAAACACAATGAAACCTACTGAAATACAAACTCAAATTTCAAAACATCACAAAAAAAAGTACATCAACATGTCATGGAATTTATTAAATAAAGATATATAGAATTAAACTTCCATATATTTAGAAGTATTAGAGTTTACTTTCCTTAACAATATTTTATCCTCAATTAAAATACTTGAATGGCCAAGATTTGAAGTAATTAAAGTCTTTGAAAAAGTAAAAGCAATCGTTTAAATACTAGCAATTCATATTTTTTTTAAATGAAGAGCAAGAAGCGTTCAAGAATGGACCATATCCTTCTAAGAGATGCTCGCTCTCTCTCTGAGTGTGTACCCGCATGCACGTGTGCAGAAATTATTAATATTTTAGGTGGTTGTGGCTTTGTAAAATAGCCTTCAACCACAAAAAAATTAAAATTGAAAAAAAAATCTAGTTCATATACTTTTTTATCTTTATTCAAATGTTTTCATTTTTTTTTTTGGTATGTTTTAGAAGAATTCTCATGATCTATAAATAGCACGCATCAATAAGTGTTGGTACATGATTTAGTGAATATGAAGCTGATAACTATTGGTCAATAATTTAGTAAGATTAAGCAATATATATGTATTATAGGTTTAGTAATCAATTATACAAAAGAACAAGGAAATAGAAAAAGGAAGGGCTTTTAGAGTTTGAACAAAGACGTAAAAATAGAGTAGGGCCTTGTGAGTTCCAAGCAATAAAGAATATCTAGCATAATTGAAGTTGACTTTTATTAAATTTCAATTAAACCAAATATTTAGAAATTTGAGGGTAGGGTTGTTAACGATTCAATTTTGAACCGAGCTAGGGTTGGCCTAAAATTGGCTCGAACTCAAATTCGACTAAAAAAATTTGATCCAAAATTTTAGCTCATAGCTTGGCTTGTTTATTTTGATCTGATCTCAATTCGAGCCAAAAATTGAATCAATTTTTCAGCGATTAAATATCTTCAAGCTGAAGTTGCTAAATTCACAACCCCTAACATCACTAGGATTGTTAATGATCCGATTTCGAGCCAAGTTGAGGCAGATCAAAATCGGCTCGAAAAAATTCAATCCAAAATTTTGGCTCGTATCTCGACTAACTTATTTCGATCCGAGCCAAAATTCAAATTAATTTTCGAGCGACTAACGATCTTCGAGCTAAATTCACAGCCTTATTTGGGAGTTGATAAGAAAAAAAATCATTGAAACAAAACAACGCTACGCATTAATAAGAAGGCTAAGGAATTGGGATCAATTTTGTTTTTTCTTTTTTTTTAAAATTTTATTTTTAAAAATATGTTCGCTTAGTGTGTTCTTAAAAATATTTTTATTTTTATTTTTAAAAACAAATTAATATATTTTTTAAAACACACAAAATAATCTTTAAACGTTTTGAGTATTTTCAAACACAACCTTATTTTATTTTAACTGACCAAACATATTTTATTTTAAATTAAAGCATAAATTGATGCAGGGTGTTTCCCTCCCCTCAATTGAATCAGACGGTTGGAAAGAAGGTTAAACTAGTTCAACTATAAGGAGGAAGTGGTTGGTCAACCTATGGGATTAGGGTTGTTGCCCAATAGGAGTGGGGCTCCCAATTCTCTTAGTTATTTACTAGCAATATTTATGTGTTGTTCTTTGAGTTGAGGGCAGTTTTTAGGTGCATATTTTCTGTCAAGACAACCATCGACGTCTTCTTTCTCTCTTATAGGGTTGTATCCAAAGATGGGTGGTGCTCCAACTTTAGCTCGTATGAGGCGGTGATCTCCTTCCAAGGGAAGTGGTGCTCCAATTGTAGCTTGTTCCTGCGAGGGTATTTATCTCCGACTCTTTCATCCTCCGCATTCCTCCCTTCGTTGCCCCCGCCATCCTTCCTCCCCACAGGAACCCCCAAACAACTCTTTGGTTGTCTTCTGATTCCTCCATCTGCATCCCCTTCCCAGCAGCCAACTAGTTTACCAACCCAACAACAACCCCAATTTCACCTTTTTCAGCCATCTGCCTGTCGGTCTCCAGCCATTTGAGACTACTACCCCGCTGTCTATATTGTTGTCGTTCTTATCCTACCCCCACCTAACACATGTTGTTGTAACCCAATTTCACAATCTTGTTGCCACATCACACAACCGACCTCCACCATTCCCCAACCTTCCTACCTCGCTTCCCGCCTACTTCCTTTGCTACCGCTACTCGGAACTGTAGATAATTACTATTTTCCTACAGTATTTTGCTTCCCCAGCTACCTTCTCCTCTTCTGGAATTATTGTCACCCCTATCCCGCTTCCCCCTCGCTGTTGTCGCTCTGAGACAACAAACCCCTACTTTTGGGACCGCCGCCCCTTGCTCCCTTATTGTTGCAGCTAACCATAATCTCTACTGCCACCTTTCCAAGGTCCCTCCTACGACCACCACCACCACCACCTGAGATCCACCTTAGTTGTGTGTCGTGTTGTTGTATTTTCTCTTTCAAGTGTGTTGGTTGTAACCGTCTAATAGCATTTTCAGTAATAATATTTGTTCGTTTATTGTTGTTTGGGTCAACTCTAGTATCATTTGGTATTAGAGCTGGCCTAACCCTAATCCTATCTTAGAGTTCTTAACATCCAACAATAGCCAACCTCACCCCCACAAAAAAATCATTCCATTTGTTGATTTTTCAAACCAATCAACCAAAAATTTTCTTTTCCACCCTACATCCCTATACACCATCTTCCACCAACCCAAGCTCAGATTCTAAACATATCATGGAGGAGATAAGCGTCAGACGCTAATAAGAAGTTTAATGTGGAAGAGATACAACAGCAACTATGCTTAATGTTATAGCAGTTCGATGAAAAGAAGACCATCCAAAGAGGTCAGCCAAAATACATTTGATTCCAGAGATGAAGAACCACTACCCCGCCTATTTGACGTAAAATATCAGAGAATCCAAGATCTTGAAGTAAATGTGGTTTTGTCATATTTAGACGGTCACTTGAATCCGAACAAGTTTATCAAGTGGCTCCAAACTGTGAAACTTTTATGTGTACCAGGACATCCCACCGAATAGAATGATGAAACTAGCCACCAACAAGTTAAAAAGACTGCATTATTTTGATATAAATATTTGAAGCACATACGCTAGCGTGAGGGAAAAGACAAGAACACTGTGTAGTCTAAAAATGAAATGAAAGATGCAGCGTCAGTATCTACTAGTTCACTACAAAATGAATATTCATACCACAACTTCAAAAGTGGAGAAACCCCATCATCGATTGATTACCAAATCTTACAGGTAGGGTTTAACCCCGAGATCTTACAACCAGAGTACACTCAGAGGAACATCCAAACCGACCCCTATTGAGGAGAAATTGATTCAGAGTAGCAAACAAGTGGAGCAAACCAATAATCTCAAATTTTTCCCAACCAAAAAGTGCGTCAAGTGCCATGGGTTTCGAAGCAAGGCAACAAATTGCTCAAAAAAGGGTACGGTCTATTTCACTGAGCAGGGAGCAGCTGAATAAATTGACAATGATATAGTTAACACTGAAAAATGTGAGAACACAAATGGTGAGTACCAACACCAACCAATGAGAAAGAGATGTCATTGATTCCAATTGAACCCAGGAAAGATACTCCAGCTGAGTTAACAATACTATTCTAGAAGGAAATGGGACTGAAGTAATGGGCATTCATGCAAAGTATGAGATTATGGTGCCTCGAATTACCATTTTGCAGGCGTTGAGAGGAGCATCAACCAAACTAACATTGGATATCCAAAAGGGCTAAGAGTTTAAGGAACTAATACCAGACACAGAGCAACCTCAGATAAGAGGATTTCAAAATTTTCAGATATATAGCATATCTCCTAAGTTGTCAAAGATAAAAAGCTTTTTAGCTACTTTTGGAAGAGCATGTGGAGTGATTTGAGTGTTAGATTCAGTTCGACTGTGTACCCACAAACAGAATGTCAAAAAAGATGGATGAACCGAATTGTTCGAAACCGCCTTAAGATTTTTGGGGAAAGAACATCCTACAATGGGATTCAGGTCGTTTCTAAGAATAAGAAGAAAATGCCTCTTCTAAGTGGTTATATCTCAGGGCGGTCAATTTTTATCATAGATTTTGCTCAATAGTTAATTCCTCCCGATATAATTGCTTATTAGATACATCCAGTTGAGTATGAGTGGGAGAAGTATATTATAAATTTACCTAATCGGGATTTGCCTTGTGAGAATCTACGTCGTTATGCCACCCCCACACAACCCTCCTACCAAAACCCCTCCTAACCTTACTGTGGTAACAAAGGCCAATAGTCCACTGTTCTTCCAAACTTGATGCCACCCCACACAGCCGATACCCCAAACAGCCGGCCTCCACCATTCCCCAACCATCACACATCATTTCCCACCGAATTTCTTCGCTACGACCACCCAAAACTGTAGGAAATCACTATTTTCCTACAGTATTTCGCTTTCACATCCACCTATTTCGGACTTGTCGCCCTCCCTATCACGCTTCCCCCTCACATTTGCTGCCCCCAAACAACAAACTACTGTTGTTGGGACTGTCACCCCTTGCTACCCTGTTGTTTCCAAGGTTTACCCTACGACCACAACCACCACCTGAGATCTACCCTACCTATGTGTCATGTGTCATGTTATTGCATTTTCTCTCAAGTGTGTTAGTTGTAATCGCTTATTGTTCTTTTAGTAATAATATTTTTTTGTTTATTGTTGTTTGGTTCTCTGGTATCAAAAATAAAACAAAATAAACAAAATAGAGTGCAAAAATAAGTAATCTCAAACAGCCCCTAAGTGATTTACAATTGTATTAAAAAATCAACATATTGCCCATGGAAGATATTGGTCATTTATGATAAAGTTATTTTACAAAGAGTAGATGTACTAATAAGCTGAGTATATAAAATGAATGTGGAAGAATTAGTAAGCAAAAATACAAAACCAAAGGTAACGAGGTTAAAAATAACACAAAAAAAAAGGTTTAGAAATGTCATGGAGCAACAAATAGAAAATGATGAAAAATGATTTCTAAAGCCAAC